GCTGTAGTAGAATACCATGGCCAAGGCAATTTACAAAAAGAAGCATTGTATTGAACTTATAGATTCAAAAGTTTAGGTGATGGCGGAGGGAAAGCATGCCAGCAGACAGCCATGAGCACATGTCTCAAACCACAATCAGGAGGTAGAGAGAGGACAATGAGGAGAACAGAAGTCTTTTAAAACCTCAAGGTGCACCCCAAGTGACACACTTTCTCCAAACAAGGTTATAGCTCTTAATCCTTCTCAAACAGTTCCAACAACTGGGGACCAAGCATTCAAATATATGAGCCTATCAGGTTCATTCTCATTCAAACCCTCATGTATTAATTATATACATAAACATATATTATACATATATGTCACATATAGTGTGTGTTCAGCAGTTATATTTTTCTTTCCCTCAATCGATTGTAAACACTGACAACATTGATTGGTCATTGTCAAATACCTTAACAACTACAACTGATAATTCTTTGGTCATCATCAAATGTCTTAATAATTATGTCTGACAATTCTCTTGATTATATAAATATCACCAAAAAATTGCAGTTCACTAATAAAATGTTTTTCTAAACACAGGAAACAAACTTAAACCAACTGGCTCTATTTATATGGTTTAGAAACAGTCGCAGGAGCTGTAAGATGGCTCAGAGGTTAAGAACGCTCACTCCTCTACCAGAGGACCTGAATTCCAGCACTCACAGCTGGTGTCCACAAATGTCTATATGTACAGTTCCAAGAGATCTAACACCTCAAGTCTGACCTCCTGAGGTGCACTCCTCCCTCACACACACTAGAAGCATTTAAATAAATAATAAACAGAATGAAGTAATTAATTCTAGAACTGAATGCACTTTTTGTCAGCCTGAGAATCCCAACTTTAATTTCTTTCAACCAAAAGATACGGGCAACAAGAAATCTGATCTGCCCCAATAGAATATATTAAAAGATTAATTGTATACTTGTAATGCCAGAAAGGCAAGAACAAAATCTGCCCCTCTCGTGCCATGTTTACACAGACATACCCGTCACAGGGACAGGCTCAGATCCCCTTTAATTCCAGCACACAGACTAAGATGAGTAAATTTCAGACAGCCCTGTGAGTCACCGTCTGAGCGTGATTTATGGGATGTGAATTGCTCTCCTGGAGTGACTAATGCGAGGAGCCAAAGGAATCCAAATTCTGCTGCAGGGTCTCAGCTCAAATGCTGGCTTGCCGATCCGTCTCTGACTGCTACCCTGATTGATGCTCATGTGTGATGCCTATCCAAGTGATCTGGAGAGTAATTGGGGGACTGTTTATTAGATGTTCATACTTTAAACAAGGAAAAGATCTCAACTGTTCTCTCATGGGTGACTGCATCACATTTTGTGGGAATCTAGTGAACTCCTCTTAAATCCCTAATCAAGATTTCTGTCCAGGACAAATAAAATTGCTTTATTTCTCTGAGTATTTTTTAATCACTAAACAGAGCTAGAATGCACCTATATCATATGGAAAAGGGCATACAGTGTATCATTTGAATAGATTACTATATTTACATGTGTATGTTATTTACCCCACCATAAACAAGACCCAATGTAACAAAACAAAAAATTGCAACCCATAAACCTAAAATTGAGGTAATCTAGAATAAATAATTGCATATGAATTCAAGAGAATTCACACAAAGAAGAAAAATGAGCAATTACCATAGAAGAAAAAATGTTTGAATCAAATCCAAAGTATTCATATCAAATGTAAATAAAGAATGTAAATGTAATAATCTAAGACAGACTGATAACAGGACACGGAAACAGAATATTCACGATAATTAGAAAGAAAGTGAAAGTTTGGGAATCAGTGTACAGAGTAGATTTAGGAGAGAAGACCAAGGGCCATGTATTAAACATAAAACTGTCAAAATGAAAACAGCACAGAGTGGCCATGAGCCTTCACTCTTTAACCAGCTAATAACAAAACTCCAAGAGGCATGCAGATAAAACTCACAGAACTGCAAGGGAAGTAGATAAACTCACTGTACAGCCAAAATTTTTAAACATTTATTTACTCAGCATAACACGCACTCGTACGTTCATGCGTGCCTGCGTGCACATGTGTTTGTGTTTGCTATGAGGCATGCACGGTGATCAGAGAACAGTCTGTGAACTCAGAATTTCAGGTGGCAAGCATCTTCACCTGATGGGCCACCTTGCTGTCCATATATCTTAAACATTTAGACATTCTTTTCTCAACAAATGATAAAGTACACAGAAATCTGGAAGGACATGGGAGACATCCATAGAGAACTTCACTCAAATTGCATCTATTAAAAATGTGCCAAATATGGCATAATACCTTATTCTCAAGTGTAAATTTCTGAATCGAAAATTCTACAAATCTACAAAAATGTCTCCTGAAACTATAACTAAATTTAGTAATGTAAGCACAAGATCAGCATACAAAAGTTAGTGGAATTTGCACACAACAGAGGCTAACAAATATTTAAATTAAAAATAGTATCACTTACAATGATGTCAAAATATGTAATTAGAATACAACTAACCAATGTCATTAACAGAAAAATGTGAAGTAAAACTGCTGGATATTGCATTAGAATATCTATATTTTTAAATTGTATCACACACACACACACATACACACACACACGTGCACTGTGCCTTTGGAGACCAGCAGAGGCCGTTGAATTGAATGGAAATAGAGATATGGATGGTTATTGAGTTGTCCAACCTGGGTACTAGGGATTGAACTTGGATCCTCTGTAAGGAAAGTTCATGCTATGAAATTCTGTGTCATCTCCCCAGACCCCATAATATCTAGATTTGAAGACTTGCCAGCTTGAGCATCAGCGGGGATGAGATACAGTTGGAGTTCTCAGATGTTCCCACTACAGAATTGGGCAGCCAATTCGAAATAGAGGGACCGTCTTTAAAAGCTTCAGTTCTCCTCCACCCTTCACTGCTATTTATGCCACAGTTCTGTGCTCTGTCACTGTTTGTTAGTGATCTATTCAGGGAGCAGGGAAACCATTGGCTTCCGTTGTGTGTGCACCAACATTCCCACCAAGAGAGACTGGGTGCTCCCGGCCCAAAGTTCACACAGATAGCCCTGATTATACTTAATATGCCACAAAACAAAACTTAAACTTGTGACCCTTGGAAAAGGTCTGGTAGGGATACAGGGTAGGGGAATTTGAGAGCGATGACGTAGAGATAAAGGAGGGTGGGGGAGAGAAAGACAAAAATACATGGTGTACATATATGAAATTGTCAAATAACAAAGCTAATCAATAAAACATTTTTTCAAAAGTGAAATTTGCATCTAAATATAGCTGGGATACCACTTTTGTGTGTTTATTGAGAACTGAATGCCTATTTGAATAAAATGTTTATGCATGAGCACTCATACAATGGTCACTTTAGATAAAACGGTCCCAGAGTAGAAAACAACTGGAGTGTTGATCAATTGGTCAGTGTTGGCACACATCCGACGCAGTGAGGCGATGGCTTACCACTCTGCAGTACATGAAATGAACTAGCAATGTCTATCACACACACTGTAGCTGCCTACGCTGGCTCTGCAGGAGAAGAAACCCATTTGCAGTAAGACATGAATGGGGGCTTAGTGGGCCCCACCCTTCACTGCTCAACCATCCGCTTCTGATGGATTAAGAAGATAGGGAGCCTTCGCCTTCATAGCTGCCTACCCAGGGGCAACTCCACCAGGCTCTAGTGGGTAATTTCACTGGTCCAAGTTAAACGAGATGGGTCACCTGACAAAATCTAGAATCATGACTCTTGGAAGGGAGCTAGAGGAGACAGAGGTGAGTGATGATGGGGACGAAGGGAAATAAGGAGAAGTATGTAGCAGGTGGCAATCAGAACACACCATATACATGTATGAAATTGTTAAAAACAAAAGTACTATAAAATGGGAGGCACTGGAGACGTAGCTCAGCAGTTAAGGAAACTGGTTCCTCTTCCAGAGCATTGAAATTTGTTCCTCACAACTCACATGCTGTCTTACAGCCGTCTGTAGCTCCACTTGCAGGAGAACGAGCTAACTCTTTCTTTCTGGTCTCCATGGACACCAGGCACAGCCACTCATTTGGTACCCAGACACACATGCAGGCAAAGCACTCATATACATGAAATAAATAAAAATAAATAAATCTAATGAAAACATATCATGTATAGAAGCTAGAACCTCCTTCTACACACATACACACACACGACTATGTCTTGATACCACATATATAAAATACTGCAATCTGAAATTTATTATCAGAAAAATCCCATCAGGATTTGAGTATGAGCAACTTAGGTGGGAACTTGGGTTTTTTTTTAAGTGAGTATAGAAACACAGATAGACACTTACAGGTGTATCTTGGCTATGATGACAATGACAGTTTCATGGGTATTCCCATAACTCGGGATTATCAGATTGTAGCATTTCAGTTTGTACAGTTTAGTGAATCCAAAACATTTACCAGTTAACGTTGTTTATCGAACCTTAAGACTCCCACCCACTGAGACAGTGGGGCTGATCTATTGGGAGCTCACCAAGGCCAGCTGGACTGTGACTGAAAAAGCATGGGATAAAACCGGACTCTCTGATCATGGCGAACAATGAGGACTGATGAGAAGCCAAGGTCAATGGCAAGGGGTTTTGATCCTACTTCATGTTC